GGAGGAACAACACCTCATTTTCCACTTGGTGACCCTGCAGCCCTCCAGACTCAATATCGAGTTCAATAATTTTAGGACCTGAACTCCCCCACATCTTAGCCCCTTACCAGACGCACTAGTCCTTGTTATCACATAGTCTGCCATTACACACTACCTATTATTAACCACCGACAGCCTCCATTAACAAATATTCACCTTCCTAGCTAGATCGTTATCAACTCCTTTGGCTGTCCAACTATTCTTCTCTCTCTTTGGGCTCTATCCCTACCTATCATTTATTCCTTACCCCCTCCCCCTACCCTATCTTCTGCATATAAACTGACATTTTCCTAGCTACCATTAGTTCTGAGGAAGGGTCACTGGACCCAAAACATTAACTTTGATTTGTCCTCATAGATGCTGCCACACCTGCTGAACTTTTCCAGCAACTTCTGTTTTTGTTTCTGATTTACAGCATTCACAGTTCGTATGGTTTTTATTTAATGTATTATACTGTGCAATATTAGAAAATAAACTATAGAGAGCTCAACCGAAAAGGGGTGGAGACTAAACTAGAAGCTGATGAGCTTGCATCTTTGATCATGTTTAAACATGTTTAATTGGATGTCTTGTCGGTTTGCATGGATAATGTTCCATTAAAATTTGCAAATGGGATTAAAGGTGTGTTAGGGAGTGGTTCAACTGACAATCAAGTTTTTTGGAAAGGCAAGTTAGTCAATCAATGAATCAACCATGGGAATTTCTTTTTTTTATTCATTAACGGGATGAGGGTGTCGCTGGCTAGGCCAGCATTTATTGCCCATCCCTAATTGCCTCGGGGACAGTTAAGAGTCAACCACATTGCTGTGGGTCTGGAGTCATATGTAGGCCAGACCAAGTAAGGATGGCAGTTTCCTTCCCTAAAGGACATTAGTGAACCATTGCATTACAGCAGTCTTTCCTGTAACTGGAACAGAAATATTAGTGAAGGGATGCTTTAAAACATTCAAATATCAAAAAAAAATGCAGATGGCTGTTGTAAAAATTACTTTTCAATGCCCTTTGTAAACAAATGCAGAAACTATTTTCTCTATACAGGTTAAGAATTCTTTCTTAAAATTACACTGATTGTACGGCCGAGTCTTGAATATTTACACAGATTGCATAGGTGCAAAGAAAGTATAGATTCTTCAACATTCTGAAGAAGAGTCATTTGGACTTGAAACATTGGGTGGAATCTTACAGTGGCCTGAACAATGTGGGGTACGGTGAGATTTGTGGCAGGATCGAACAAGAAACCTAGAATAGAAGAATAGAATAGAATCCCTACAGTATGGAACCAGGCCCTTCAGCCCAACAAGTCCACACTGACCCTCAGATTATCCCACCTAGACCCATCCCCCTTTCACCCAACTACTCTACGCATCCCTGAACACGACGGGCAATTTAGCATGGCCAATCCACCTAGCCTGCACATATTTGGACTGTGGGAGGAAACCTATGCAGACACGGGGAGAATGTGCAAACTCCACACAGTCACCCAAGGGTGGAATCAAACCTGGGTCCCTGGCGCTGTGAGGCAGCAGTGCTAACCACTGAGCCACCATGCTGCCCTTTTTTTTTACAATTTAGCATGGCCAATCCACCCTATCTGCACATTTTTGGACTGTGGGAGGAAACCAACACTGACCCAGGGAGAAAGTGCAAACTCCATACACAGTTACTCAAGGCTGGAATTAAACCCATGTCCCTGGTGCTGTGAGGCAGTAGTGCTAACCACTGAGTCACTGTACTGTGTAGCGAGGTCTATCTCGGCCTCCAAGTTGCTCAGTGTTTCTGGTTGTAATCCATGAGCACCAAGCATGTGGAATCTGGTCCATGGACATTGGCATGTGACATCTGGGTTGCATCTGAACCAGAATAGGTCCAATATCTTTATTGGGAGGTTTGCTTTTACTGTTAGGAAGCAGATCATTCAGTCGGATATCAGTGGTAGGGAAATAATGAGAAAATATTTAAGGAGACAGGATTTATCGACATTTGGAAAGGCAGGGATAGATCAGGGATGATCAGCATGAACTTGTTGGAAGGATATCCTGTCTGACTAATTTAGTTGAGTTTTTTGAAAAGGTGACTAAATATATTGATGAGGGTAACAAAGTTGATGTGGTGTACGTGGACTTCTATAAGACCTTTGACAAGGTCCCATGTGGAAGGCAAGCCAAAAGGTAGGAGTCCATGGTATCCTAGACAAGTTGGCAAACTGGATGCAAAATTGGCTTGCAAATCGGAGGCAAAGAGTGACGGGCAGTGTTGTTTTCATGATTGAAAGCCTGTGACCAGCAGTACATCAGGGTTCGGTGCTGGGACAATAGCTGTTTGTAATGTACAGTAACAACTTGGATGTGAACGTAGAAGGTATAATGAGTGAATTTGTAAATGACACAAAAAAATGGACATCTCGTTGATAATGAGGAGGATGGTGTCAGGCTACAATCTGATATGATCAGCTGGTAAATTGGGTACAGCAATGACAGCTGGAATTTAATGTGATAAATGCTGCACTTTGGGTGATCTAATAAGCATTGAATATACACAATGAGTGTTAGATCCATGGGGACTGCTGAGGGAAAAAAGGACCTTGGTGTATAAGTCCATAGATTTGATTTGGTTTGATTTTGATTAATTATTGTCACATGTACCTAGCTACAGTGAAAAGTTGTGTTTGCCTGTAGTACAGGCAGATGATAATTACAAAGTGCATAACAGTAATAGAACAGAGTGAGGAATACAATGTTGCAGCTTCAGATCCCTTGAAGGCATTAGCACAAATAGATAGGATGATGAAGAAGGCATAGGGGATGCTGATCTTTATTAGCTGGAGCATAGAATATAGGAGCAAGGAAGTCTTGTTACAATTTTATAAACATTTATTAGGCCACAGAAGGAATCCTGCATGCGTTCTGGTGCCACATTATCGGAAGGATGTGATTGCATTGGAGAGGGTGCAGAGGAGATTTACCAGGATGTTGCCTGGGATGGAAAGTCTCAGTTATGAGGAGAGACTGGATAGGGTGTGCTTGTTTTCCTTGGGGCATAGACAGAGGAAGCTGAGGGGGATGTGATCGAAGTGACAAGGTTATGAGAGGCATAGACAGGGTAGATTGTGAGAATCCTCTCCCAATGGTAGATGTGTCTAAGACCAGAGGGCATACAGTATGTTTAAAGTGAGGAGTAATTCATTAAGGGGGCATCTGAGGAAACATTATTTCTTCCAGAGGGTGGTAGAAATATGGAACATGCTGCTTTAGAGGTTGGTGGATGCATATACTATTGCACCATTTAAGAAACATCTGGATGGGCACTTAAAATGCCAAGGCACAGTAGGCTATGGACCCAGTGCAGGACAATGGGATTAGTGTAGTTTGGTACAAAAACACAAGTTGCTGGAAAAGCTCAACATGTCTGGCAGCACCTGTGAAGAGAAAATCAGAGTTAGCGTTTCAGGTCTGGTGACCCTTCCTCAGAACTGGCTCTTTCTGACAACCTCTCTAAACCATTGTGGCATCCCTCCAATACACTTGCAGGTCACTCAGGGAGCACAGACTTACATTACATGGCACACCGGCAACTGGTATTGAAAGGCTGCTGCAGGGACAGGGACCCAGCTCACAGACTGGGCAAAGGCTGCAACTTAAGGCTGCCGGCTTGCTTTCTAAGAACTCGTTCACCTGGATTCTCAAAGTATCGGTGTCCTGCCTTGCCTTGCCTCAGTTAGCCCAGCTCCACAGCCAGGCAGCTTGCTTTGATGGGCAGCAGTCCTCAGTCAATAGGGTATTCATCTTCTTATACAGCAAAGTACAAAATCTTAGTTATACCACATGCCTGCAGCTTACACTTCTGCAATGTGTTCAAACTGACTGTCACCGGGTAGAGCAGCTTCGGAATTATAGTGCTTGTCCAGATTCACAGCATCCTTTTAAATATGGCATGGGTGCCAGCAATAACACAGTGTGGAGCTAGAGGAACACAGCAGGCCAGGCAGCATCAGCAGAGCAGGAAAGCTTACGTTTCGGGTTGGGATCCTTCTTCAGAAATGTGTATGTTACAGGGTTATGTAGATTGTGTATAATATGGTGGGTATATTACATGGTGTGTTTTATGTTATAAATAGTATATTGTGTTTTACAGGGTGTATGATATATTGTATATTTTATATTTATATATATCACAGAGTGTATGATACATTATATGTATTATATTGTGTATATTATAGGGTATATGATATATTGTATATATGATACATATTACAAGATGTATGATGTATATTATATATATTATACTATATATTACAGGGTATGAGATACATTGTGTATATGACGGTGTATGATTTACTGTATTGATTGCAGGATGTATGATGTATGATATATCATATACACTACACTATATATAACAGGATATGAGAAATATTGTGTATATTACAGGATGTATGATATTTTGTATATATTACACAGTATAGATTACAGGGTGTATGATAAACTGTATAGATTACAGGGTGTATGATATACTATATAGATTACAGGGTGTATGATTTACTGTATAGATTTTAGGGTGTATGATACACTGTATCGATTACAGGGTGTATGATGTATTATAGAAATTACAGGGTGTATGATTTCCTGTATAGATTTTACGGTGTATGATATAGTGTATAGATTACAGGGTGTATGATTTACTGTATAGGTCACAGGGTGTATGATGTATTGTATAAATTACAGGGTGTATGATTTACTGTATAGATTTTAGGGTGTATGATATAGTGTATAGATTACAGGGTGTATGATATACTGTATAGGACACAGGATATCGGTTCCCCACCGTCTCCTCGAGCGGCTCCTTGTCTGTAGGGAAGGAGCTGACGTCAGCAGCCGGGAAGGATCTGTCAGCGGCAATGGCGGCGGGAGGGCGGAGCAGGGGCGCAGCCTAACGGGGCGGGGACAGGAATAGCAGACTCAGGAGCCGGCAGAACGGAGACGGGGAGAAAGCGTTCTCCCTCTCTCGCACTCGGTCGCTTTCGTTTTCTACCTCCTCCTCCAGGCTGAGTTTCGCCGCCTGGCCGGTGGGCCGGCTGGGTGAAGCTGAGACTCGGGAGTGGGGGAGAAGCTATGGTGGCCAAGGCATCGAGGACCCCGTTTTAACTCAGCTGCCCCGGGATCCGGACCGAGTTGGCCGGCCGAAAAGCGAGCGGACGGCGGCGCCATGGAGGCGGAGGAGCCACTGATGGAGAGCGAGAGTTTCCTGCGGACTGAGGTCGAGCGGCTGAACCGCGAGCTGAGCGAAACAACCCAGGAGAAGATCCAGGCGGCCGAGTACGGGCTGGTGGTGTTGGAGGAGAAGCAGAGCCTCAAACAACAGTATGAGGAGCTGGAGAGCGAGTATGAGACAGTCAAACAGGAGTTGGAGCAGCTCCGAGAGGTGAGGCTTATTGAGCGAGGACAAGGGAAAATAATATCACCAAACCTCGATCCCGGTTTTTGTACAGACGGTTTTGTTTTAAAAATAAGTTAATCATTTGCTTAAAATGTATTGGTTGGATTCTTCAAAAAAAAACTGACCGAAGACCCACCCATTGCCCAAGGGCGTCTGACCGTTGACAGATTCAAGCAGCAGCTCCGAGCATCTGCCACCTCACTGCTCTCAATAATAGTTGTTGTGCTGTGCCAAATGGCTCACAGTGGCTTGTTCGTACCGTTGAATCCCCTACTGTAACTGTGTGAATTCTCGCAGTGGAGGAATCCCTTTGTCCCCATCTTTCAGCAGATTGTCATAGATCGGATTAGTGACCACTGTTAGATCCACGGGAAGCATGGTCAGAGATCCGTCGAGCAGAGGCCACTAGATTTTAAAAAAACTTCCCCTGTGCATTATTCAAATTTACAAACTAGGTAAATCAGCTAATTGGAGTTTGATGGCCAGTCCTCGAATGGGTGCTTTTCTCCACACAATGCAAAATTGTAAGATAGGTTTCGTTTTAATAATGCTTCGACAAGATCTAAAGAAATTCACAAGAGAAAATATTTCCACGAATCATTGGTACGAAGAAATTGCATAAAATATACTGGGCGGGAATAGACTGTTGAGCCAAACTAGTTTAATACATCCAGCGACTAAGATGTTCAGACTGGAAAGAAAATGTTCAGATCTACAATATTGTACTATCACAGTACATGAAGGTAAAGTGCTACTCATAGGCAGACATTCTGTAACTGCCTTGTAAAATGAAATACTTATGAGATGTGAATCATTGCCTGAGTTTGGGTTGTATGTTTTTTCCCACTCAAGACATCACTGGATTTGACTTGGCGCCTACTTTCAGAATTATGGATTAGATTAATGACTCATGGGGAAAGTCATGCTTAGCTCGCCTGCTTGGTTGATACAGCATGCTGATACAAAATTGAATCAATTATATTCTAGAATGAAGATTTCTTTTGGTTTTAACTATTGTTGACTTGTTCTTGGTTCAAATTGATAGTAGACTTCAATTTCTGTTTTGGAAAAGGTCAATTTGTGGATATAACTACATCTATAGGGCACATCTTTTTACAAGCTTATATTAAATTGATTAAAAACAAGTCTCAATCTGGATTGTGGAGCTTTTTTATAATGAAAAAATGTAATGCTATTTCATTAGGATAACATTCAGATTGAGATTTTAAATGTGAGAAGTTTAGAGCATTGAATAATCAATTATATCAGTTTAATGAAACGTCAAAGCATTGTAGTGTCATACTGTTTGAAGAAAATATGTTAATGTTTGCAAGTCATGTTAATTAGCTTTATGCTATAGATTTGAACAATGTTTAATTGTATGTACTGGAATTTTCAATGTTTCTCACAGTATTACATGGGATATGAGCCTTTTGAGTGCTTTTTTCATGTTCATTAATTGAGCTGATATTTCTGGGTTTGAATGACAAATTGGGTGGGAAAACTGCCGTCTTCAAATTTTAATGTTTAAACATTTCAGTTACAAATCAAGCGAGTAGTTTTATTTTGTTGATATATGCAGGATATGATCAGAAATGGCACATTGGACTTCTAAGACAAGAAAGATACATGAACGGACTTGTATTCACCTTCGCAAACTCAGGTCTAACTGATATTTATGGAAATCTAAGGGGATCATTTCTCTGCAAATTTGTTCTTTTAAGCAAAGTTAAAAATGGACTTTGCAATCCCAAGGATTTGCAAAGATATTTTTTCAATTAGTGATTTAAACTTTTTCTGCTATAAATAGTAATTTACTCAACAGAAGGTACTACGGAATAAAACAGTTTGAAAATTTTTTTTCTTTATAAATTTGAAGGAATTATCCAACCCAAATGTTAAGTACAGTTTGTGTGGAAAATGGGAAGGGTTACTGGATATTTTTAATCAACCCACTCAGACATATCATGATGCCTCTGGAGCAGGTGGAACTTGAACCCAGACATTCTGGCCCACAGGTAGGTAGGTTGAAATTAGAAAAAAGTCTAAGTGTAACTTTGAATGGATTGGAATCTGGTGAAATTTATTTAATGTTTGAATTTTATTTTCTAATGTGTCCTTTATTATCCTGTGAACCTAATGTGACAAATAGTAACATGATCTGTCTTCTCAAAACATGGTAAGAGATCACCTTTCTCCTCCCATACCATGTGATCAGCGTTCGGCGGAACAAGCTTTTGTAGTTTGTTTATTATGCAAGCATGTAAAGAATGCTTGTTGGTTTTCTCCCTCGTAAAACTGATTAAAAGGGTGAGTGTTATATAATCATCTTACATTTTTGTACTATGTGAGATTATTGTCGTAAATGGAGTAGTTTGGTTATAAAGAAGGAGGGTGTAACCAAAGCTGATGGGTATAACTATCATGCCCATCACTCAAATTGTTCGTTTGTTGCTGATTTGTTTGGCACTTCACATTTGGCTTGTTGACTACTTTGTTCAAATGTTGGATCACAGCCCAAAATCCTTTCAGAATCTCATTTATTTTTCAGCCTTAAATATTCATACATAAGCTTTAATTTCTTTTGTAAATTCTGAGCTCTGTAAAGTTTGTCAAGCATATAAACAAAGCAAGGTATAACTAAGTTTGTGAACATGGAGCAGGAGTAGGCTATTTCCATAAGATCATGGATTGATTGTAATCTTGTCTGCGTTCTAATCCTGATAACCTTTCACCACCTTGTTTAACAAGAATTTATCTACCTCTGTCTAAAAAATATTCAAGGATTCTTGTTTCAACTGTCTTTTCAGGATGAGTGTGACAAAGGCTCATGATTCTTCAAGAGAAAACAATTCCCCTCGTATTAGTTTCATATAGGTTTCCTTGTATTTTTAAACAGTGATCCTTAGTTCAAAAATTTCCCGTAAAGGGAAATATCCTTTCCACGTCCATCCTGTCAAGATCCCTCAGGATCCTATGTTTCAATTAAGTCACCTCTTAATCTTCCCAATTTTAGCAGGTTCTAAGTCTAGCCTGTCTAACCTCATAAGACACCCCACCTAGTCTAGGTGTCAGTCTAATAAACTTTCTTTGAACTGCTTCCAGCATATTTACAGCCTTCCTTAAATAATTTAACTGATACAATGTACAACACCCCAAGTGTGGTCTCACCTCTGCCCTGTATAACTGAAGCATTAACTTCCTACTTGTTGTATTAATTTCCCCTTGTAATGAATTATAATATCCTAATGGCTTTCCTAATTACTTGGTGTACCTGTATACTAACCTTCTGTTAGTATACACCATGAAAACTAAGTCCCTGTAACATTTCGGAGCTCTTATCTCTCACTACTTAGATAATATGCTTGTTTGTTCTTCCTGCCAAAATGAGCAGTTTCACATTTTTCCCAATTATAATCCATTTGCCAGAATGTTGCCCAATCATTTAACTTTTTTATATATATATGTGTGTGTGTGTGTGTGTGTGTGTGTATATATATATATATTTGTCATCAGCAAATTTGGCAACTATATCTTCTGTCACTTTGTCCAGGTTATTTGTATAATTGAACCATACATCCATTGGTTCACCTTTATCCACAGCATTTGTTACCTACTCTGAACTCTGGGATTGGTCAATCATTTCCTTTCACCAATCCACGTAGACTCTGCCTGGTAACCTTGAACTTGCTTAACTCCGCTGTCATAGCTTATAAGTGTACAAACAAGGAACAAGAGTAGTCCCTTGGCCCTTTGAGCCTGCTCCACCATTTACTTGGATCAAGGCTGATCTGATTTTTAACATCAACTTTACATTCTTGCATATCCCTGCTAATCTTTCATCTCCTTGGCAATCAAGAATCTATTTACTTCTGCCTTAAAAAATATTTAAGGAGTCTGCATTCACTGTCTTTTAAGAAAGTGAATTCTGAAGACTGTGAATCCTCTGAGAGAAAAATGTTTCCTAATTTCTGTTGTAAATTGGCAACACCTTATTTTTAAACTGACCCCTAGGACTACATTTTCTCCAAGAGGAAACAGGTTTTTAACGTTCACCTGGTCAAATCCCCTTTCAATTAAGTCATCTCTGACTCTTCTAACCTCCAGAGAATACAGGCCTTGGCTATCTAGCGTTTCCTCAAAGTCAATTTGCACATTCCAGGTGTTAGTATAGTAAACCTTCTCTGAACTGCTCTGTACTCTTGCATTCTGTTCTCATTGTAATAAGCCATAACATTCTGTTATCTTCCCTGATTACTTGCTATACCTGCATACTGAGATTCATGTACTAGTATAACCAGGTCCCCCTGCATCTCAGAGCTCTGCAACTGCTCACCATTTAGGTAATATTCTTCATTTTTATTCTTTCTGCCAAAATGGACAATTTCACACTTTTTCGCATTGTACTGCATTTGCCAGATCTTTGGGTCACTTTATCTATATCCATTTGTAGGCTTATACCTATCTTTGTGTCATCATGAAATTTGGCTACTATATCTTTGATCTCTTCATCCAAATCATTCATATAAATTCTGAAGAGTTGAGGCCCCAGCACTGACTCCAGTGGCAAACCACCCATGACTTCCAGCCAGCCTGAAGAAAACTTAAGAATAGTTTCTAACATTTTCCCTGCAACAGATATTAAGCTAACCTGCTTGTAGCTCCCTGCCTTCAATGTTCCCTTTTTAAGTAGTTACATTTGCTGTCTTCCAATCTATTGGGATTGTCCCTCAAACAAGGGAGTTTTGTAAAATTAAAACCAATACATCAGCACTCTCACTTTTTTTAAACTGCGCAGCTGTTCCAAGATTCAGCACATATTCAGCACATGTTCAGCATCAGTATGCTGGTTGTGGTATTGGTTTACATTCTGGAGGACATTTCCATGCACAGACCTTGCAGGTCCATGCAGCCAGAAAGAAAATTAGAGGGAACTCTAATGTCAATCCCCTTAACTATACTTCCCCTTAACTATACTGCCCCCT